TGGTTAACTACTTCTATTTCATTTTCTCAAGCTAATTCTATTTTTCACATAGTGCAAGCTGTAGTGCTAGCTGTAGTACTACTACTTCTAGAAGAATCTGATAACCTCTACTACGCACGAATTAGTAGCACAAAAAATATATATTAGGGGTGAGGTTATTGTTGAATATTGAACACTGATTCCCAATACAGTGCGTTCGACTTCCACTGCCACCGAAGCAGACCAATTTTTACTGCATAATAATAGTCCAGTGACGAACGAACGATTTGGATCCCCTCAAGCCTCCAGGGTGTTATTTTCAGTGACGAACGAACGATTTGGTTCCCCTCCATCTCCATTCATCTCCAGGCTGTTATTTTCAAGTGACGAACGAACGACTTGGATCCCCCCAAGCCTCCAGGGTGTTATTTTCCGTACGATCCACTTCCAGGGTGTTATTTTTAGTGACGAACGAGCGATTTGGATGAAAGTACTAGATGGTTCGGACCGAAGAATCATCCTTTCGAAAGCTAACCAACAAAAAATATGATGTGATAAGATTGACGTCATCACCCATTGCAAAAACAAATTGCAAACTCTGCGTGACACACGCAACATGAACTTTGCAATACTGTTCGCAGGTATGCAAGGTGCTTCGTACGTTGTATCAACGGCAGAAACATTATTTTTATATCAGTGAATCGTTTAGTTTAAGTTCGAAGATCAAACTATCGTGTCATGAGTATTGAATTCTACCGCTCCACAAGACTAATGTCGTGAAACTGTATCATCACCGTGTGTGAAATATCATATAATTGGACTGTGGTTGAATTCCATTCTCCCTTTGGTTACAACCAGATGTTTCCTTCGTCATCTTCGGTACGCTCGTAGGCTTTTCCAATGAAGGTCATGTCTTCCTTCAGCTTTCGTTCCACGATCCGCGAGACCCCTGGCACCTTAGTGGCGCTAAGGATCTGGTTCGACCCTTTCACAATCATCAAGACGTACCGTGCCACCTGCAAATCGATCGTGTCACTCCCGAAAGGATCACTCAGCTTCTGACCCAGCGACCTCAGACCGATCGTGAACAGGGCCTGCAGGGCCACCACCAGCAACGATAGTACCTCGTGTTGCCAGCTTGCATTGCTGCCCCCTGTTTCATGGGCAACCACAATGGCAAAGAGGGGTAGATAGCACACAGTTAGCAGCGATAGGAAATGGATGTAAAAGAACGGAATCGGCAGCGTGCAGGTGACGAAGATTTTTGCAACGGTGCTCCGGAACTGCAGGACCTGATCCCGCAGCTGCTTTGCCTCCATAGGATCGATACACCCATGGTTCTTTGCTTCCCGAATATCCATCATTGCCCATGCCAGGACCTCAAAAACCGCCTGTGGCCCGCAATCGGCATTGATGTCAACCGTGATGCGCTGGTACTCGGCATCGGTCAGTAGGGCAAACCGCTGGTCCAAAGGATCAAGAAGATTGTCCCTGCTGTAGTATTCTGACAGCCCGGTGTAGGTACAGATGTGGGCTATATTCATGTAGCGGACAATCCGACGAGCCCGTTCGATGGGCATGCAAGCCTTTGAAATTGTTGCCACGTCGTTGACACGCCCCATCAACACCATTGACTCTTTGTGCAGTTCAAAATAACGGGCGTGGTTTTGATTCACATAAAAGACCAAAAAGAAGGTCATGAAACCACCAACATAGACAAGATTTGAAGCTAGGTTCTCATAAATTTCAACATTTTCTTGGAGGTCTGTGAATCGAATGTACCAACGATTACCAATAAATATCTATGGAGATGAAGAATGAGAGCCACAAAGAAAAGAGGAAGGAAACAAAAACATTTCCCATCGTGTGAGTTGAGTTGAGTTGAGTTGAGTTGAGTTGAGTTGAGTTGAGTTGAGTTGAGTTGAGTTGNTGAGTTGAGTTGAGTTGAGTTGAGTTGAGTTGAGTTGAGTTGAGTTGAGTTGAGTTGAGTTGGGTTGAGATGAGATGAGATGAGATGAGGTAAGATGAGTTGATTTGATTTGATTTGTGCTGAGTTGAATAAAAAAATCAAGACCACAAAGAGATAGGATAGCGTTCTAATCGAATCTGCAAAAGACTGCAGAACGCCGCGCAGCACAAGGTCACTTCGCACTTACAGCAATTGTGCTCCAGAACAAAATATCGGTCGCGATCACCTTCAGAACGGTCCCCTTAAAGTGGAAGAGGATACGGTAGAATGGTTCTTCGCATTGTTCCGCGATTTGCTCCCGGAGCTGGTCATTCTTGATTAGCCCCTCGTAGGAACTGTCTTTTTGGAAGAAGCGAACGGTACGCGCCCAGACACTGGGCTTTGGCATCCTGCCCTCTTCCTCAAACTTGATTGAGAGCTTTGAGCCTGAGTCCGAGTCGAACTTCTGATTGGACCCCCCAAGCTGGGGGGCCTTCTCCTTGCCTACCCGCCAGATGCTAGTCTGGCGGGTTATGGCCTTTCTCCCACCCCAGTTTGTAAATTCCAAGGGATCATTCTCGTGCAGCTTATCAAGTCTTTCCCTTTCGCTCAGGGATGAGCGCCGACGGAAGGGCGTGTGGAAGCTGTCGCTTCTTTGTCCGCTGTCTTGGAGGTTTCGGTTACTGTTGAATTGGTTGTTGTAACCGTAAGCGCTTGCAGCTGCTGAGGCATCCAAAAACGACACCGTGTTGTTTTTGCGGTAAGTGTCGCCAACTGATTGGTTGTACTCGTAGTCGACTTCGGAACCAAGGGCAGCGACCCCATCGCCTCTGTTGGTGTCGTTCGTGTTGTTCGTGTTGCTCGTGTAGCTGTTGTTGTCGTTGTTGTCGTTGTTATTGGTGGTGTTGGTGGTGGTGTTATTGCCGTTGTTGTTTGTGCTGTGTTTGCCGTGGATGTTGCTATCGGTGTAGCTATGTCCGGTTGTGTTGCTGTCACTCAAGGTGCTTCTGGTGCTGGTGCTGTCGATGCTTCTGGTGCTGTCGATATTTCTGCTGTTGTCTCCAGCAGCTCGAACCACGCCATCAAATCCAACTGTAATGGCTTGAACGGACCGATTGGATTGGTCGTTTATGATCGGCAACATGCTATTCATGCTATTGATCGTTTGGATGGGATGCATTGAAATAAAATGAATCGGAGTAGAAGAGAAGAGGATGGAATAATATTTTAGTACGGCAGGATAGGAAGGGATGGGATAGAATTTCGAGCAGGCTTCCTGGAAGGTGCGGTGTTGTATTTCGAAGAAGAAAAATTCAAAAGCCTATGGTCACGGATTTCGTACCTCTGTTTTTGTCGCCTTTAGGCATCGATTTTGTTGCGAGCGTTGGAGTTCGATTCGATTCCTTTCCGAATAATATCTCGTCAGAGCAATTCGAGGAAGCAGTTGGTGTAAGATCACAACTTAATTCGGAGCAACTGTTAGACTGCAACACCACTTCCGAAAAACCAAATGCAGCTTTATCACGAAGGCGAAAGTACGAGTACCTACTAACACCTACCGTTGAATATTTTTTCACCTGCAGGTTCGGAAAAGTAGAAAAGCGTCATTTTCAGGTTCGGAAAAAAAAAGAAAAAATATCATCTACATTATTTTCGCATTCTTCATTTTTCGTATTGATGATACATTTGTATTGTATAGCTGGAAATTGTATAGCTGGAAAGAAATTGAAAATCAGTCCGGAAATGGCAAGTACCGTTCGAAAGAATGTACAGGTAGATGGAAACAATAAAATTATCATTCGCCAGTGAAGCTTAAGTCGGAAAAAGCAGATCAAACAAAATCTTTATACAGACTCGAGTGGTATCTTTTCGTAAAAATAATCAATAGTGATAAGAAAATTAACATTTGAGTGGTACGAAAACGTATCTTAATAGAACTTTCTTCAGTTATTGATTTTTAAGTTCTTTGGGCATCGTTCCATACAACAAAACACATTTTTTTAAAAATCGTACACGTGCTGATCGTAATGAAAGTCGAAACATAAAAAAAAGACTAAAACAGTTTTGACTGTACTACGAGTTTCATAACAATTGCACACGGTCTTGCCCAGAGAGCAAAAAGTAATTGCAACGGATACGTACGTACTGTATTGAAAGGATACGTACGTACTGGAAAGGAAGCATACGTACGTACAATACGATGCTCCCTCTGAATGGATGGATATACCATTCCTA